TCGCGTGCCCGGGAGGGAGCGGCTGTGAAGGGCAGAACCAACGGCCCCTTCCACCCACAGTGGAAGCTCCTTGGGGTAGGGCCACAGAGCCGTCAACCACTGTGCACCGGCCTTGTGCGGGGCTCTGCTGGGCGCCGAGTGGGGTGGCTGGTTAGGCCGCTCGGAGTTCGTCCCTCATCCGGGGATGTGTCTTTTGACTCAGGCGCTGAGCACTGCTTCCCTGGGGAGACGGTGGGGGTGGGGTAGATCCCGCAGTCTGGCAGCAGGAGCGTCCGGGCTATTCCACTAGGACTCGAAGGAGGCGGAGGGAGCGGGACGCAGCGTACACTGAACTCGTTAGCGCTGCGTCCGCCCGCACTAAAAAGGGTCGTTCTCCAGAGCTTGGTGCAGGCTGCACCCCAGACACTGCTGGAGTCAGGAAGGTCTGGGGGTTCTCGGTGAGGCCTTCAGGGGAGGGCGGGGCGGGGCGAAGAGGATTTGGGGCGGGACTGCGAGGCCAGTGTCCCTTTCGCTTTCCCTTTTGTTCTTTCCAACCGCCGCTGAGATTGCGCACCGGTGAGGAGAGGGCGGCTTCCCGACGTGCATCTCTGCCCGCGCCCGCGCCCCCAGGCTCTAGTGGTCCAGTGCCTTCCCGGGTCCGCACACAGGTTCCACCTGGCCTTGACCCCTGTGGCTCCCACCGACGCACCGACAAATAGACAAGCAACGCTGGAAGCGAATGAGTCGCGGGGGCGCCCCGCAGCGGAGGAGCCCCGCGCACCATGCAATTCCCGCCCGACTGGCCCCCGGAGCCTGGCGCGCTCCGGCCATCGCCCTTCCCGCACCCTGTGCTGCATGCCCTCCACGGCCTGGCCCGCGTGCTCCTCTTCCCGGCCTACTGGACCCTGGACCAGCTGCTGGGCTGCTGGGCGCCAATGGCGCGCCCCAGCAGCCTGAAATGGCTGAGCGCTGCCGCGCGAGCGGGAGCGGCGCTGCTGTTGCTGCTGCTCGTCGGCCTGCCCCTGGCCTTGCCCGGCTTGCTGCTCTGGCTGCTGCTGCAGGCCTGGCGTCGCCCCTTCTGCTACCAACCCCCTCCGCAGTGCTGGGCACCACCCGCACCTTGGCGCCCCCCAGCTGAGCCCGCTCGCTGCTTCAGCTTCCTCAGCGCCAACCTGTGTCTGCTCCCCGACGGGCTGGCACGCTTCAGCAACTTGCAGCACAGCCAGCGGCGGGCTGAGGCAGTGGGCTCCGTGCTGCTCACCGGCCTGCGGCCCTCGCGCTACGGGACTACGGGCTGCAGCCCGCCACCGCCTGGGGCGCCTTGCGGGGTGCTGATAGCAGCGGTGCCGGCCGGTCTGGACTTCGTGTGCCTGCAGGAGGTGTTCGATCTGCGCGCGGCGCACCGTCTGGTGAGCCGCCTGGCGCCCAATCTGGGCCCGGTGCTGTACGACGTGGGCACGTACGGACTGCAGCCTGGGCCGCAACTCAAGCTGCTGGGCAGTGGGCTGATGCTGGCCTCGCGCTACCCGCTGTTGCGCGCCGCCTTCCGGTCCTTCCCCAACGCTCGGCGCGAGGACGCGCTGGCCTCCAAGGGACTGCTTTCTGCACAGGTACCCGCCCACTGGCGGCGGCGCTCCCCAGCCAGGGAGGGGGCGGGGCATGGGGTTGAACTGGCGAGGATTGCTGGGACTGTCCATGGTGTTGCAGGCGCAGCTGGGGATCCTGGACGGGCGCCCTATCGTGGGCTTCCTGCATTGCACGCATTTGCATGCGCCGAGTGGTGAGCCCGGCGGGCGGTATTGTCGGCACGTGGGCGGGCCGACCCGCCTCTGCTTGGTGGTGGCATATCCCAACCCTCTCCTGTACCTCCGTCCGCCCGGCCACACACACCGTTTGTTCACTGATTCAGGCACCCCGAGTCCCGTGGAATGCCTGAGTGGGCTCACAGATAAGGACCCGGTAGGGAGGGGGGTGGGGGTTTTGGTTGTGTGTCCGTGATGCGGAATGGCACCTGGGCTGAGCCTTCCTCCCCCCTTCTTCCCCCCACAGAGGACGGACCCTTGCGCTGTAAACAGCTGACGCTGCTGCTGGACTGGGCCGAGCAGTTTGAGGCCGAGAGCTGCCAGAGTGACGAGGCCGTGGCTTTCAGTGTGCTCTTGGGTGACCTGAACTTCGACAATTGCTCGCTAGGTAAGGGCAGGCTGCAGCGGGGTGGGGCCAGGTGTCCTAGCCCCGCCCACCGAGCGCGGACCTTTCTCTGCAGATCACGCGCAGGAGCAGGAGCACCAGCTCTTCAGCCGTTTCCAGGACCCCTGTCGCCTGGGCACACGCCGGGAGCAGCCCTGGGCCCTGGGTACGGTGCCTGGGCGGGGGCGGACCTAGGGAGGGCTCGATGGACCGTGCTCCGGCTGATGCCCACGCTCTCGCCGGTACCGCTCTCCCCCAGGAACGTTACTGAGCACTTCCACGCTCCACCACTCTGTGGCCTGCTCCCCGGAGATGCTGCGGAGGTGAGCAGCGACCTGGGGGCTAGGCACCGCCCAGAACGGAGGGGTGCCCTGGCCTTCATGACACCGCCCNGAGAGCTGGCGCAGTGGGAACTGCAGGAAGGCTCAGGCAGGGAGATATCCCATCCAACTGCCACTTCAGACCCGCAGCTCTGTGGGCCTGGCGGGCAGCTGCTTGCGGGGCAGGGACATACATTGCAGGACCCAGCGCCAATGAAAACATAGGGCTCCTTGTGAGACATTGTGAGGTACTTCAAGACAACTACAGCAGAGCTTCAAGCTGAGTAGGGGCCCTTCTGAGCATGGGATCCTGTGTGACTGCCTAGGTCACATGTCCAGGAGGACACAGGAGGGTTGGAAAGGAGGGGCTGACTTCCTGGTGAGATGCTGTGGAAGGAGGCAGGCACTGCCTGCCTGGGGACACAGGTGATGAAGTAGGTCGAGATGACCCAGCTGCTGGCAGTCTCCTTGTCAGGGCACTGGGACCAGGCACCCAAGGGGCAGCAGGACCCCCCAGTGCTGACACAGCAGGGTGCTGGGGGGGGCAGGAGAGGAGGCTGTGAGGAGCAGGCAGGGGGCCAGGAGGAGGGCTGGTCAAGTCCCCGACTGGCTGGCGTCTCCTGGGTCAGGCCATGTGGGGCACTAGGAGCCCCCTCATTGCTCCTTCACCCCCAGACTCCCCATCGCGCTCTCTGCTCTCAGCTCAGTCCCAAGTCCCCGGTGGTGGGTGGGACAGGTGAGGGGCTTCGGGGCCCTCTGGCCGGCCTGCCCATGTGCCGCTGTCCCCTCAGGCCTCCCTGAACCCCAACGACCACAAGCTGGATGAGGAGCTGTGCCAGGTGCTCACACAGCGCTACGTGAGCATAATGAACCGGCTGCAGAGCCTGGGCTACAACGGGCGGCTGCACCCAGCACTGACAGAGCAGCTGGTGAACGCCTACGGCATCCTGCGGGAGCGGCCAGAGCTGGCTGCGTCGGAGGGCGGCTCCTACTCGATGGAGTTCCTGCAGCGCGTGCTGGTGGAGACTGTGCACCCCAGTATGCTCACAGACGCGCTGCTGCTGCTTTCCTGCCTCAGTCAGCTGGCACACGATGATGGCAAGCCCATGTTCATCTGGTGACGGCGGCCCGCCTGCCCACCCAGGCTGGCTCTGCTCCCTCCCTGGTGCACCGTCATTAAAGCTTCCCACAGATGCTGGCCCCTGGGCTTCCGGCACTCCTGGCTGTGCTACCTCGTGGGGGGCTCGCCGGTGACCCCTCCCCTGTGCCCCTGGGGGTGTTCCGAAGGCCCCAAGGCTGCCTTCCCCTAGCAGTGGGAGCAGCGGGAGCCCCTGAGACATGGAGGGGGGAGAGCAGGAAGTGGAAAGGAGCCTAGCTGGCAGGGAAGGGCCGTGGCTGTGCCAGCAGCACTGGTGACGCTCATGGAGCTGAGGCCTGGGCGCAGAGCACAAGGCAGAGGTGGGAGTGACACAAAGATGTGGGAGTCCCTCCTTCTGTACCAGGCAGGGACGAGGGGTATGGGGGATTCTGGCCCCTCGTTGGGGCAGGACATTAGAGGGAGGAGGAGCCAGGAGAAAGCCTCATTCAAGCCTGGGCACGGGGCAGCCCAGGGACACGAGGACCCTTCCCAAGGCCCCCGTGATGCCCAGGAAGAAGAGGTGGCTCCACTGGGTGCTGGGCCCTGGGGTGGGAGACTCGGAGCTGGCGAGGGCAGACCCCGCCTGCCGCAGGGCAGAGNGCACCTAAGTCATTTTATTTTACATCTGTTTTGTTTTTAAATAAATGCATTCAGAGCAGGGAGATAGCCAAAATATTTAACAACTGGTACATCAGGAACAGCAGACAGAGTGGAAGGTGGGACAGGATCCAGGGCAGAGGAAGAAGGTCTGTTGTTTAGCAGCTGTTCGGGGCGCCGCAGTTTAGAGCCGCTGGCCTGTCTGCTGCATCTCCAGGCAGCCTTGGAGTGCGCTCTGGCTGCGTCCCACAGGGCTGGACAGGGGGCCTGATCTGTTCAGGTGTAAATACCTCACTAACTGCACTGGATTTCCTCTCTAACCCGTGAGTCGGTTAGGGTGCACTTTCCGGTCTCTGTCATCTCAGGGGCGCTTGGTGTCCTTTTATGGTTGATTTCTGACGCTCTTGCCCAGTGTTCAGAGAACAAGGGCTGACCAAACTGATTCTGTGACATTTGCTGCCGTTTCCTTTGTCACTGAGCATGTGGTCAATGTCGTTGGTGCTCCAGGATGGAAAGATTGGATGGTGTGCATGTTTGGTCCTCCCGGTTCTCTCCTCCACAGCTGATCCAACACTAGATCCTACTGGTTTTCCTGCTAAGGACTTTTCCCACATACATGTCTGCATCCTCTTGTCCGTCACTCAGACCCCCAGTCCAAACCGCTGTCACTTTCCTGGTCCACAGCTCCCCTTTTCCCTCCATCTCTTCACGCTTGACTAGTATGAGCATTCAGGGTGTGCCAGGTCCATGCCAAACAGACACGGTCTCTGCCCTCTCCTGGGGGGACCTCCTGAACAAGAAAAGCCATAATAAACATGTATGCTAGAGGGGCAGAGGGTGGTGCATGCTGGGAGGGGGGCAGGAGAGTTTGAGGGTGGGAGCTGGGGGCTGACAGGGTGGTCTGCCTTGCAGTCTCCTCCCAACCAGATTCTGGCCACACCCAGCAAACTTCAACGCCCCCTCACTCCCTTCCTTCTCCATCCCTTTGAAACACAGCTCTCCTCAGTGTGAGAGCCCACTGATGTGCCTCACAGTGTTGGGATCCCCACGTGGCGGTGCCCACCAGCACAGGTGCTGTGCTCAGCGCCCCCTGGACACATTTCCTTTAGTCCTCAAAACAGCCCTGTCAGGTGGTGTCACAGCGGGGAAACTGAGGCTCAGACCCAGTGCGGTGACAGGAGCAGCCTTCAAACTGGCTCTCCCTATGGGCCCCTCCCTCTATGCTCAGCCCCTGGCATCTTCCATGCCATGCATATTGTTCCTGGGCCTAGAACGCTCTCTCCTCCTATTGTCCTCCTCCTTCAGATCTCAGCCCCGTCCCCTCTCCCTCCAGGGTGCCCTCCCTGAGACTGACTCGGTGGCTCCCCAGCAGCAGCGCTCACAGTTCTACCCCTCTCCTCAGAGGGCCTTTGCTCACACTAATCCCATCACCTGGTACAGTGCCAGGGGAGGCGAGCGCTGGGAGCATTTCTGCAGGTTGGATGAACAGAGCCCATGCCCTCTCTTGCCAGCTTCTGCCCACCCCCCTTACGGTGGTCAGTTAGAACCACAGAGCCCAGCAGGCGTGTCCACCCCTTCAGGACAGGGCCCTGCCTGCCTGCTCTGCTCAGCCCTGTTTCTCAGGGCCCACGGCCAT